TTATTTTCCAGACATCTCTGTGCACATCTTCACATTGGACCTCTCTCTCCTGATCTCCTCTTCCTGGCTTTGCCCACCTTGCAAAATCATGGCCAGCTTATTGTTTGGTTTCTCCTCATAATGTCCTGGCAGGTATTTTTTTCACCGTTTTCTGCCTTGAAGGCCTTTTCCTTCTTCACGTTAGAATCCAAAGGCAAAAGTACAAAGTGAAGGTGTTAGCCTTGAAATAGGGTGTGGAACTGGGAAAAAAATAACAGGAACAATTGCATTAGATTCAGTTTAAGTGCAAGTTTCTTTGAATGAAGTAATTCACAGAGCTCAAAGGCAAAGCTAGAAGGAAGGTAGCTTTGGGTGACTCTGTCGAAACAACCCCTGAGCAAGGTCTTTTTCATAGGCTCATATGGACTTATGGACTGCTTCTTTTTTTTTGAGATGGAGTCTCTGTTGCCCAGGCTGGAGTGTAGAGGCGTGATCTCAGCTCACTGCAACCTCCGCCTCCCAGGTTCAAGTGATTCTCCCACTTCAGCCTCCCAAGTAGCTGGGATTACAGGTGCCCGCCACTGCCTTCAGCTAATTTTTTTTTTTTTAAGACAGAGTCTTACTCTGTCACCCAGGCTAGAGTCTGTCTCTTATACACATCTAGATGTGTATAAGAGACAGGTGCAATGGTGTGATGATGGTTCACTGCACCCTCGACTTCCTGGGCTCAAGTGATCCTCCCACCTCGACCTCCTGAGCATTAGGGACTACAGGTGCTCACCATCATTCCTGGCTAAGTTTTAATTTTTTTGTGTGATGAGACTGGCTCTCACATGTTGCCCTGGCTGGTCTGTTAACTCCTAGCCTCAAGCAATCCTTCCACCTCAGCCTCCTGAGCAGCTGGGTCCATAGGCACACACCACCATGCCTGGCTAATTTTTGCATTTTTGTAGAGATGGGGTTTTGCCGTGTTGCCTAGGCTCATCTCGAACTCCTGGGCAAAGGATCAAGTGATCCTCTAACTTCAGCCCACTTTGGCCTCCCAAAGTGTTGGGACTACAGGTATGAGCCACTACACCTGGCCCTGCTCTCTCTTTAGGAAGCAAAACCCATAAGAACTTTAAAGACTTCCTAAAGCAATTTGTCTTAACATTTTGGGGATAAGGTAGCCTTCTTAGAATCTGTTGAAATCCACTGGCCTTCCCCCGAGAAAAGTCCATATTTACAGAGTCTGATGCGTGATGTCAGAATGTCTGTGGAGCCACTAGGGCTATCTGAAAATTCCAAAAGAAGGGACACAGAGGAAAAATTGGCTGAGGGGAATTGCATCAGGAGCACTGGGGGTAGTGACACAATCATACCTAAAGTAAGAGAACACTAAAGCATTACGGGGCATAGATGGATGTTAGAGAGTGGGGAAAAGGCAGGTTTATAGAGCCTGCACCACAAATGAGAAAGTAGGCAAAAATAAAAAAAAAAAA